CTGCAAACCAGTCCCCGAGAAGTTGAAATTCCTGAGTTATTGAGGCTTGTATGATATCATTGTTCTGTCTTGTACAAATTAGAGCTGTATCATCTGCATATTGAAAGGTAGACATCTTAGTAGCTTTACATAGATCATTAACATATATAATAAATAAACAAGGGCCAAGAATGGAGCCTTGAGGAACTCCACAGGGGTTTATGTTCCACTCTGATTTATAATTTCTCTGCATTTTTTGTACAATAAGTCTTTGTTTTCGGTTTTTTAAATAGGATCCAAACCACTTTAATTCAGTGTTTTTTATTCCATGCTTACTTAGTTTTTCTAAAAGTATATCATGATCCACACAGTCAAAAGCCTTGGATAAGTCACACAGCACACCCACAGTCTTCTGCGAACCATCCAAGGCTTTCGCAATGCAGTCAATTATTTTTGTTATGGATTTTTCAGTACTAAGCCCTGGGCGGAAACCAAACTGTGACGGATTTATTAGATTATTACTTTCCAAAAATTCTGTTAGCTGAATCTTAACAATTTTTTCAAAAATCTTTGAAAAACATGGCAAAATTGCTATAGGACGGTAGTTAGAAGGATCGTTGACATCACCCTTTTTGAATAGCGGTTTAATCTCAGCAAACTTAAGCTTATCAGGAAAAACACCCTCGTCAAGGGACTGATTTACTATTTGGCATAATGGATGTTCGATAAATTTAAAGACTCTTTTAACGACAAAAAGAGGAATATCGTCCCAACCTGAGGACTTAGTGTTACTGAGAGATGCAAAAACTTTTCTTAATTCGTTAATTGAAACCTTTCTAAATTTAAATGTGAATTTGGAAGGTGGATGATTTTTAGTTAGTAGCTGAATGGCTTTAGATTTATCTGTTGACTGGTTAGCATACTGAGAAATATTAATAAAAAAATTATTGAAGTTATTTGCTACCGCTACTGCAGAATTTTGTGTATTCCATTCATGTTGGAATTTAATTTCTACTGGGGTATCAGATATTTGCTTATTAAGTCCTGTTTCATTTTTCACTACTACCCAAGATGCTTTACTTTTATTTTTAGACTTATTAATAAAGTCATCATTAGCTTCAAGTTTTGCTAGTGCAACTACTTTTTTGAAAACCTTTCTGTAGTTTTTGTAATAAGTTAAAAACTGAGGGTTTCGATTCCATTTTGATTCTTGGTGCAACTTACTTTTATTATCTGCAGAAATCTTTATTCCTGTTGTTACCCAGTTATTTTTCTTCCGTTTATTCTTTGGACAGTCAATTTTTTTAGGGAATGCCTCATTGAATAAATTTAGAAAAAGTGTAAGAAATGTATTATAATTGGTATCTACGTTAAAGTTTTCAAAAAGGTTCCAATTCATGTTGTGTAGTGTGTTTTCAAAGGTTTGAAAATTTGTCTCTGTAAACTTCCGAATAAACTTTTGATTCACGCCCTCAAGTCTTAGAGAGGACATTTTCTCAAATGACAAAAGTAAAACTTTGTGGTCTGATGCACCAATGTCTGTGACTAAACTGCTTGTATTTTTTGTCTGTAAGTTATATTGTCAATACACGTACTTGAGATACTGTTTACCCTAGTTGGTACAAAAACATTAGGTTTAAATCCAAAACAATCACAAATTTCCAGTAAATTATCAGTACTTACTTTATCAGTTAATAAGTCTATATTTGTATCTGCCATTATAAAAACATTTTTTGACATTGCTTCCAATGCAATTTTGTCTAATAACATTTCAAACTTTTCTAAAAATATGTTATCTATGTCATTGCCTGGAATCCTGTATACTGATATAAAGATTGAATTCCAGTCCTTAACTTCAATGAATGATCCTTCAAAACAATATTGTTCATTTAAAAATTTTAAGTCATTTCTAATTTTAAAACTAACGCTTTTGTCAATCATCAAACATGAACCTCCCCTGCATTGATCTATTCTGGCGTAACAGTCAGCAATTATAAAACCATCTAGTTTATTTAATACATTTATATTTTTTGCATCTAGCCAATGCTCATTGATAGAGATAACATTAATTTTGCAATTCTTATTTTCCATGAACAGACTAAGTTCCACATGGTTATTTAAAAAACCCTGAATATTAAAATGTAATAAAAACATATCTTTACTCAATTTATTCTCAGACACTAACTTTACCTGTGCATCAGTTATATTATCTATTTCTCTAAAAAAAGACCTTTATTACTATTTCTAAGATTACTATTTACAAATTCTCCCTCTACAATACTAGTACTATGTACAGCAAGACAATCTTCTTCGTTAACCTTGGACACTTTCACTGTGCTCTGCTTTTTTTCACTAGAAACTATCACAGGAGATATTGTTGTTGGACAGTCTTTGAGGGCCGCTGCATAGTTCACCAGGTGATGTCCTCTCACTTTAGGAGTTGAATGTACAGTGATTGTAGAGCCAGGAGTTGAATGTACAGTGATTGTAGAGCCAGGGTCAAATTGGCTAACAGACAAGATCTCTGAGTTTGTTGAAGACAACACTGATGAAGGAATACGACTTGGAGATAAGTTGTTTTTGCTGGTTTCAGGTAAGGCATCTGAATTTTTGTGTTTTTCCAATGGAGTCTGTGTAGGTGCTTGTAGACTTTCACATGTAAGTTTTCGTAGGTAATTTGTAAAGTCTTTATGGGTCATGCCATTTCGCAGTTGCCGGAAGGACTTCTGGTAATACGAAACAACTGTAATGTTTGCATGCGTTTCTTTTTTAAATTTAATCAGGTTAGATACAAACTGGCTTGGACTCACCCTGTCTCTAACACACCCAATTGGAGAGCATATCAGATGTTTTAGTTTTTTTTCTTAAAATCTTCAGTTAGATGTTCAAACACAGTCTTGTAATCATCAAGGGTTGGTTTACCAAAAAATCTGTCTTTTGTGACAAGACTGTATACACAGGCTCCAGCTTGACTATTTTGCAGTGTAAGATGATCGGTAATGCAATGAGCTGCTGTTGGTTTCTTAAAGTGCTTTGCGAACACTACAGCCACACCCGCTGACATACGCCGGTCGTCGTCAAAATCTCCAGAAATGCTATGAGCTACTGATCTGTCATTGTGGTACTTTTCAATCATTAAAGACATAGGCATTTCAGTGACACTTATTCCTTCATGATTTTCTGGGAATGTTTGTATGATCTCAGGACAGGATGGAACTACCTTTGTTGTTTCAAATATTTGTTTAAGTTTGTATGTAATAAGTTTAGCCACTATGTACTTTCCTCTGTTATTTATGTGTAGGCCATGATATGAGAAATGGGTTCTCTTCAACACATCCAGATCAACAAGATGTAAAGATTCCAGTCTATTAGCTAATTCCCTCAAGTAATTATTTACAAGACATATTTCGTCATGAACTGCATGCTTCTTGTGGACATCAAATCTTTGTGGTACGGTTGTAACCAATACTGGCTGTTTTTGGCTTAAAGTCTTTAATTTGGCTTCTAGGGATGAGTAGATAGGAGTCATATAGTTTTTCAATGAATCATTAGATCCTCCAATAAGAATAACTGCATCATATTTGTATTTTGAAAGCAATGCAGTGTCTGTTACTTGATTGAATGAGGCGTTAGGCATTACTGTACCCGTTGCATTTATTTTATCATTCATTTGACTTAGCTTCCATCATAGATTTCTGCCCTGGCTGTATTATACCGAGGCCACATATTTTACAGCGCTGCGGCGGTTATGTTAGGTTGGTATATCATAAACATGTTTGTAGGACTTTCCTCGTTTCAATGATCAACTACTCGTGGAGTAGTGTCCCTTAACATAGGGAGTCCATATAGTGACAAAGTTATCTGTCCGTTAACAGCTCATATTCTACCAAAACTCACTGCTAAGTTACTCACTATGACACCTGGTGAATCCAATTGGCCTCAAGAAGCTCCAACTAGCTTAGCTGATCCATGATTTCATGATTCCTGGGTCTGTAGATTTGATACTTGGAGCTGATGTTTATGGAAGTATCATTCTTCCTGGACTTATCAAGGGCCTCTCACTCCTATTGCTCAATTAACCATCTTTGGTTGGGTGTTATCTAGGCCAAGTGGATTTATCATCAATGACAATAAATCACCAATGTATCATTGCCTACTGGAGAACAAAGTAGATGATTTACTTCAGAAGTTTTGGGAACAGGAAGATTTTGCAAAAGATCCAGTTCAGGTTAGATCTCCTGAAAATCAAAATTGTGCAGAACACTTTCAATCGACACACTCTATGATTGAAAGAGGAAGATATGTTGTTAAAACTCCCACTAAAAGAGTCTGCCAAAAATCCCGGACAACCTCATTTGTTTGGTAACACTGAAGACAGCTACTGGAACACCCAAGCCCTCTTCCTGCCACAGAATAAAATTGCCCAGTTTCCTGTTGCAATTTGGGGGGAATATGTTAGAAGTTCTCTGAATACTATGTACTGCCTGCCTTTTGTGCACAAATCATATGTTTTATTATATTATTAATACATTACTTGTTTACATTTAGTCAGTTCTTAAAAAATCATGTTCATTAAACCAGCTCTTACGTTTTATCTTTTTTACTGTATCAATATTACTATCTATCATTAACAGACTGTTTATAAAAAAAGATACCTTTTGAAGTGTACGAGATGTAAGAGAATGCAACTATGGAAGACGGTCACAGTGCCACCTTGATCACGAGATATGATAATATTTTCAACCCAAGGGACTATCATGGTGTTGATATAATCACAAGAGACAGTCACGGTGTTGTCATGATTGCAGAAACAATATGACCAATTACAGCTATAGGAATACAATGTGTTAAGTTTTTCATGCAATTTTTACTCCATTTCCGGCTATACTTTGAACTGGATTCTGTTCCAATTAGTTACCAGATTAACTAACATTAAGTCTAAAGTTACTAAATTCACAAGTAGCATAAACTTGATGGTAACAGACACTTGACTATTAATAAAAGGACAAAAGAACTGCATCAACAGTTAATACTTGTTTAATAACAAAAGAAAAGCTGAAATACAAAATAAATAGTTAGGATATAATAATAAATAAACTAAGGCAAAATAATGATCATTCTAATAACTCATCACCCTCTGTGACTTCTTTTAAGTTAAGAATTTCTAGAATTCCTTGTCCTTTAGTTTCTGATCGGACTATTTCATCCACTTCTCTGAAGTTTCCTGGGTCTGCCAGGCAAGTCTGTGATGACAAAATTTAAATTAGTTGTATGAATATACTTTACAAACTCTTAAAAGTATATGCCTAACAATTTAAATCCTACTCTCTTTATCTTTTTTGTGTGTTCCTAACAATGAATTAGAATTTAAAATATAGGATTACGCCAGATATATTAACAACATATTACATTACCACCGCAACACAACTTTTACTATATCACATTTACTAACAAGAAGAATTTAAACACAATTATAATGAATCTTTGCTAGTTCAACTTTAAGGCATACTCTCTCTCTTTCTTTAGTATTACTCAGAAGAAATCTAAATAAGTACAGTCACTTTGCCAAACCAAAATCCTCCTATGCAAGAATAATAACCTTTCCTACCACTTATTCAAATAGTCTGACATTTAATTTGATGTAGTTTAATTTCCCTTCATTTATAAACCATGTTCTGTTACTGGAAGGTTCTAAGTGATATGTTTTAGCGAATTTCCCATATAGGGAATAAGCTATTACCGTAGTACTCATGGTAAGACCTGGACGCGGGACCGATTTTTTTTTTCATTTTGAGGTCCCTAGAGGCCAAAAACACCATCCGTTCAAATTCATATATATATATATATATATTTATATATTTATATATATATATATATATATATATGTGTCCGTTAGCACGATAACTCGAGCAAAAATGATCCGATTTTTATGAAATTTGGTACAAACGTGTAATCCTACGTTTATTCGAACGAGTTCGCGATCCAGCATGATCGGACCATGGGAACGGGGGTTTACGGGGGGTTTTATGGGGTAAAAATAGGTTTTTACCATTTTTGACCCAAAAAACATAAAATTTAGCAATTTCTTTCCAAACCATTTTGTAGAGCTTAAAAAAACAAATAATTTAGTATATTGAAGCGTTGTTATGCGCCTAATGGTTACGGAGAAAATTCCAAAAAATTGTAAATTTAAAATTCCCATGTTATTCTTATGGAGAATAAGTAAATTGTTGTAGTTTGCTTGTTTATGAACATATTTTGATCAAATTTGGAAAATGTTTTTATTTCTTACTAACTATTAACGTTTTACAAAAAAAAAACAGTTTTACCCTCCCTGATGCAGCAAACCTAAGTACTAGTTAAACTAATTCTACTTAAATAGAGAATAAATGTTATATTTTTAAGTAGACATTTCAGTGTAAACCTAATCAGTCAAATGGAAATTCGCTTAGTCTGTAGGTTTGCTGCGGCGGGGGTATTAGCGAATTTCCCATATAGGGAATAAGCTATTACCGTAGTACTCATGGTAAGACCTGGACGCGGGACCGATTTTTTTTTTCATTTTGAGGTCCCTAGAGGCCAAAAACACCATCCGTTCAAATTCATATATATATATATATTTATATATATATATATATATGTGTCCGTTAGCACGATAACTCGAGCAAAAATGATCCGGTTTTTTTTTAAATTTGGTACAAACGTGTAATCCTACGTTTATTCGAACGAGTTCGTGATCCAGCATGATCGGACCATGGGAACGGGGGTTTACGGGGGGTTTTATGGGGTAAAAATAGGTTTTTACCATTTTTGACCCAAAAAACATAAAATTTAGCAATTTCTTTCCAAACCATTTTGTAGAGCTTAAAAAAACAAATAATTTAGTATATTGAAGCGTTGTTATGCGCCTAATGGTTACGGAGAAAATTACAAAAAATTGTAAATTTAAAATTCCCATGTTATTCTTATGGAGAATAAGTAAATTGTTGTAGTTTGCTTGTTTATGAACATATTTTGATCAAATTTGGAAAATGTTTTTATTTCTTACTAACTATTAACGTTTTACAAAAAAAAAACAGTTTTACCCTCCCTGATGCAGCAAACCTAAGTACTAGTTAAACTAATTCTACTTAAATAGAGAATAAATGTTATATTTTTAAGTAGACATTTCAGTGTAAATCTAATCAGTCAAATGGAAATTCGCTTAGTCTGCAGGTTTGCTGCGGCGGGGGTATTTGATTATACCACATTTACAATAATTTCACAGTATGATTGATAATTACCAGATTCAACTCGCCATCAGTCCATTCCTCATTCTCCACTTTGCTAGTTAGTTTCACAACTTTGTCCCTCAACTTCCTAGCCTCTTTACCAGATATTACTATTCTGAGCCTCATTTGTGCTCGTTCCAATGGCATTGTTGCTTTTAATTGAGGGATCACATCTAAAGCCTGTAAGAAAAAAAATTCAATTTCTACTTAGCAATTGTACGATTTCATGATGGATTGTAGCACAAAATGTCATAGTGCGTCTGCTGATACTGCAAACAGAGTCCTAAGGGAACTTGTACTGCAGGGTTGCCACCGTAGTAAGATGATAAAATTCATGGGTTTCACTGATAGTTAACGCAAATAAATGTTTTGCTGATTTCCGAAAATGTACATTTAAGAGGCAGTTTCTTTGTGCATTAATATCGAATAGCCTTTCAAACATGAAACAACTATTTTAGAGTGATTAAAAATATTTTTTTAGAACAAAACAGAACAAGCTATTTCAAATTAAATATTGGAGAAGAATAACAAAATATTTTAGTCTAATTCAGTCTGTAACGGTCAAATATTAAGAGTAGGAACGTTGCTGTTTCGTAATTCAAATAGCGCGGGGTTGTGGTTCACTGAGCGGCCACGCACTACGCCAGCGTCGCGACCCCTATAACAGCCGCACAGTATAGGGGCTAGTCACTTGAGCGCTGGGCGAATAGCTAGCAACATCTCTCCCTGGTAAGTGGAGTGGAGTACATCGCGAAACCTTAGGTCGAGGGCGGAATAGCCCGGTAATAAGCCAGTATTGAACAACCCTGGTAGCGTTGAATACTAGGGTTAGGCCGAGGGCGGAATAGCTCTTGGACCCGCGTATATTGCGAGACGATAGGTCGAGGGCGGAATAGCCCGGTAATAAGGTAGATATGGTGGAGGCAGATATGTATAAGGTAATTGAATGGCTAAGGAACGATAATTTTGTAGCCTTCGCCCATACCATCTCCGGCGACTACCATCACCCAAGAAGAATCACTGCTGGTGTGGCCAGGGCTTTTAGGAAACACTTTGGGAAGCCCGACTTAAAAGATTGCCTAACAAACTTTTTGTCATGCCAAAGGACCATTCCTAAACAAGCAACGGTATATAGGGTGCGTTCACAAAGAAAGCTGGTTAAAAGTAATTTACTTTCAGCGCTTGTTCCAAGTGCTTGAGAATGCTATTGTGTGTTCACAACAAATGCTTGCATTTCAAGCTCAGTGTAGTCTTAGTTTTGGTTGAGACAATATCTTCCTCAAGTGATGAAGAGTTATTTTTGATTAAAAATGTAGAATTAAAAGTTCGTAGAAGGAAAGTAGGTGTTCATGAAATTAACCGCGTAAGAGGTAGGTTCGGGGAATACCACCATCTATTTCCTCAATTGAAATTTGACAAAGTGAGGTTTTTTTCTGATATGAGAATGGAGTTAACCACGTTTAATTACATCCTCAAGAAAATTGAAAGTGTTTTAGTGAAGTTTTGAGGGAATTGGCATAAGCAACCTATCCATGCACCAGAACGAATTTTGGACCAATAATAAAACCTAAAAAATACTCGGAGGGAGTATTAAACACCCTACGTAGCTGATTAATTATGATGCAAACAATATTGTGAGATATATTCAAATGTTTTAATTTTCTAGGTAAATAAAGTCAAAGTATACAAGATTTATATAATAATCCAACACTTAATTATAATATTAAATTAAATGTGATTGTCTATCATCTTAATACATATGTTATATTTGTACTATTCAATACGTTATTGAACATTCTAGAGAAAAACCACAATACGTGGATAATATATTTTTTTGGAAATTGGAAGCTCTAAATACTTGAGCTATCAACTAATCGACATCCATACTGCACTGTTAGTAGTTTGTAACTGACTGGTTCGGTCAACAAGCGCCGGAAAACAAGTACGAAACGTTCTTGCGTGCTTGTCAAAGCTTGTAGCAAGCGCTTGCTAGCCGGCACAAGCTTTGTCTGTGAACGCACACGTTTGATACTATGTTGACTTTTCTCACGCCGGTTCGAGCTTCCAAGCACTTGTAACCAGCTTTCTTTGTGAACGCACCCATAGCCTTATAACCAAAGAACACTTCAACGGCAAGTTTAACCGTAGCTACTGAGCATTTTTCAAAGTTCAATCTCTACCTGCAGATCAGTGAGTATATCACAATAATAAGCAAAAATAAACTAATGGAAAACTTGTATTACCTTTTGTTAGAAAGCCAACCACTATTATTGTTAATCAGGGCACAAATTTCATCAATTTAAATATAAATCAACAACATAATACATAACAGTTTTTATTTTAACTCGTTCCATAGTTCAAAACGTGTATGCATTTGCATTAATTTACATCATCATTTAAAACATTGAGTAAAGAAACATAGTTATGTCATAGATATTTAATTGATTTTAGAAACAAAAGTGAATTGTGTGCACCATAGTTTTGTGATTTTCTCCATAGTCATATTGAAAAGCAGAGTTGTAAAAACATAACTACTAAAGAGGTTTCTGTAAATGTAAAAAGAGAACGAATGTGAAGTAATTCATAGAAGAAAATATAAGTAGTAGCTACCTCTGGACAGAATAAAAGTAGGTATAGTTGTAATTTAGTTTGTAAATTGAATTAAAACACAAAAGTAAGTGTAAACATTGAGTCAGTAAAATTGTAAAACTGTGCCATTACATTTTATATCTCTGTATCAGCAAAAACAGTGTTTGTTTCAATTTTCTTTGACTTTTTTAACCGTTTTTACTTGTTAATTATATTGAGGTTAGTGTAGTTTCCTATTGTAACTATGGCAACGGGACCAGCACCAGATCATGACTATACTCAATTTATAGACGAACCAAGTGTTATTCTAGAGATATCAAACTTTCAAATCACCGGTGAAGAAGATCTCAAATGTGATAAAAAAGACTCCGAAAACAACTGGCAAACTGTTATATCAAGAAATGGCAAAAGAAACTTGATGCTGTTACCGGAACATGGACCAAAACGCCATCGCATTCATCAAACCACAGCAAAGAATGTTGGTTCTTCACAAGGAATTACTCTCAAAAACAATTTTGCGCCACTGTCCTCCGATGCAATGGAAGATGAACTTGTGACTAACAAGCCTAAAGAGTCAAAACCACCACCAATATTTCTTCCTGGCGTTACGAACGTTGCACCCATGATCAGATCTTTGAATACAATGGTGACTATCAATGGATATTCCTACAAATGCCTTCCCAAAATTAAACTGTTTCCTGCAACCTCTGACGACTACAGGAAAATAGTGTGTGGGCTGACAGATTTGAATGTATGTTTCCATACATACCAGCTGAAACAGGAACGTGATTATAGGGTCGTACTGAAGGGAATGCACTATTCAACTTGCATTGACGACTTAAAGGCTGCTATTGAGAAAAATGGACACAAGGTAAGGAATCTAACTAATGTAAGGAACAAATTTTTGAAGAAACCAATGTCTCTTTGTTTCATAGACCTAGAGCCTAGTGACAATAATAATGAAACATTTAATAATTTTCTGTGGAATATTTAAACATAAGGAAATATTTCAAACACAATTCATTTTAAATGCTAAGGTTTTATTTGAACCACCTCAGAAAAAGAAAGAAATTGTCCAATGTAAACGCTGCCAGCAGTATGGGCACACTAAATCTTACTGTCACAACAAGTATCGTTGTGTTAAATGCACACAGGAACATGATACCAAAGACTGCCCTAAACCACCTGATGTACCCCCAGCTTGTGTGTTGTGCTCAGGAAAGCACTCTGCAAATTACAAAGGTTTTGCCCTGTTTATAGAGATATACAAAATAAGCAGTTCCCCCCTCTCAGAAAAAAAGACTCTTGGTAATAATCAAAGCAATCTGGGTCTTCAGAGTCTTACACAAGACAATTCTAATACCAGTAATACCTTGACGAAAAGTTCATTAGTCAATGAATAGTCATTTATTCCATCTTTAAACAATACAATATTATGATTGATTTCGTCAAAAAATAACTACATCCTAATTTTGGCTACATTGTAGTTGACAATAGACAGGCAATATGGCATGCTATAATTTTCTAATTAAGTTCTGAGGATCTAGTAAAAGAAGGGAGTACAGGAACAGAGGAATCACGAGGCAGTTACAGGTATTTTAACCTTTTTACAATATTATTGTCAACGTGATTCGGAATAAACAACACAACATAAGTAATTCTATCTAAAGGCCCTAATAAATTTGTATTAGGCCTAGGTGATTAACAGAGTTAATTTAGAAAGTAGTATGTTATTGTTTGGTTTTTTGATATTTTAGGCTAGGTCTACTTTTATTTAATACAATCATATGTTTAATAAAATGTAAAATATCATTTTACTTCGACAAACTTTTTTAATTTTGTCAGTCAAGAATGCTAGAAGAAGCTTGGCATGTTATTTATTATTTATTGTATTGTTGACGTAGCCTATTGTCCTGTATGAATTGAATGGCCAAATAAATCATTTGAATCATTTGAATAAATACATTATTTTAAAACTAAAAGTTTTATATTCCTTGAACAACCGATTTGTTACTATTTTAAAAGTTCCTAATCAAACCATGCAATAATTATTAATGATCAGTTTTCTTTTGTTTTTAAATAAACTGAATAGCAGTATAATGCCTTTGGCCATTTTTAATTTTTGAATTTAGTATTAGTATTCATACTTTGAAATTTTGAAAGTGGTGGCAGAGAGGAGGGGTAGTGGTAGGGAGGAGGGGGGCGTGTGCAAGAAATGTTTTAACTTAAGCAACATGGGACGCCGTGCGGTCGTAAGTCACATGACTGGCGAAAAACATTAAAAAAACATGTCTGCTTCAAAAAGTTCAGCGTCTTTAAAATGTTTTTTAAAAGTAGATAAACCACCATTGGACTTACATGACAATTTGCAAACTGAAAAAACATCTAGTGATTTACAAAGTGCTTCAACTAGTACCGATAGTGACACTGGGTCGAGTAGGCCTACTGCAGCAGTAGTTTCCCAACCCTCGGCACCCCGTGGAATGCAATATTTTATTGTTAATGACAATGTTACCAAGGCTGAGATTTTGTGGGCAATTGAGAGCGTCATGACCCATACGTCTATGCGCACCGCCGCTCGCGATGTTACA